CTCACACAGTTTGGAAGTAGACAATTTTATATCAATGAATTTCACACCATCTACGCTTGTTTTCATCTGCTTGACACTAGTTTAAGCATTATGGAGTATTATATCTAAATAAATTAAAACGCACCCCCAAGTCACCTGAAATAATTCTACCATAACGACACCACAGTAAATATAGTAGTGGTTGGAATGGAAATGCACACGGCTCGTTGCCTGGTGTATTTAATCATTTAAAAAGTTTTAAACAATTTCCATAAATAAAGGCTATGAATAATTTATAAGACAATTTGACAAAATCAAAAAATCAGGTCGGAAAAATATTTCATATATAAATATAATTTGTAGCGTAAATATAGTCCAGACATGTGAGGAGGGAATTCCAGGTGGCGTTATCTGTCCTTTGCACGCGGTACAATGTACATGTAAATACGGTGCCATGCACAGGTGTGGTTTGTGTTTTGATATTCAATTTATTACGGATATTTTAAAATCTGAATTCTAAAACTCAACGGTGAAGTATTCGATTTAGTACGGAAGTGTGGTACCATGATACTTTGCGGAATTCACGTGGATACGGATGATAGAATTGTACGAATCTTCGAGTCACTGAGCCAAAGCAGATTCGCCGACTTTCAAGAACTTTTAGGCAATCCGATGTCGAAGAAATAAAAAGGTTTCATATTACGATATTTATATAGAGCAATGTACGTCAAAGACCTAACGATGTGCGTATGTACCTACATGTATGGATATGTGTGATGTGATTAGTCTTTGAGTTTGATAATTGAGAGTGACAGGTTATTTACTGAAGCGACAGGTATGAAGAAAAGCTAAACATTTCGAGGCCTGCTTCTTCGTCTCATGACCTTAAACACTGTGTATAAATTTAAAGTCAATCGGATATTAACTTTGACCTCTAGAGCGTCCACAAGATTTTTTGAAGTGATCAGTAATTATTGGAAATCGTTGAAGATCAATAGGCTTCTTCGTCTCATGACCTTAAACACTGTGTACAAATTTAAAGTCAATTGGATATTAACTTTAGCCTCTAGAGCGTCCACAAGATTTTTTGAAGTGACCGACGACAATATACGTCCACATTTCAATGTGGGCGTATAAAAATGGACAATAAAATTAAATAATTACTAATTACTAACGGATAACAATAAGAAAACTAAGTTTTTTAAACTGTGGATCGAGCTATCAACGTTCGTTTCAGATCACCACACCATTGTATTTGAATTCGAGAGAATAAAGAATTTAAAACAAAATTTGTTGGACTATTACTACTTTTGAATTTTTGGGCCTGTGAAATTGGGTCTGGGCTTGTAAAAAATTGTAATATACTGGAAAGTTATTGACGTGAATGGGATAAGATATCTAAAAAAAAATCTTTGCCTAATCTACATCTCTAGTGTCGAATCTGTCATGTGCGTTTTTAATTACCGGTATTTAAAGCGGAAATTGCAAATTTTCTAAGGAAGTCAAAATGTAATTATTTCTATGTCTTTTGCTCAATTATACGATCATAGGTGTCATTCTCACACTTAAAACTCATTTACACAGGAAATAATAACACAATTACCTCCCAATTACCTACCTTGTTTTCTATTCTCCACCATGGAGTAGCTTTTTTCAAACGTTTGAAAATGAAGAGGAAAATGATACTTTTGCCAATTTCTCAGCTGGCAATAGTGAATTATAGGATTAATAGGATTATTCTTTAACAAGGTAGGACTGTTTATGGATACCATCTATTTTCAGGCTTTATTTTAATAAATTTTAAAAATATAACTTAAAAATTTGCAATTTCCGCTTTACAGGAGCTAAATCGCTAATATTTCGGACCTAAAAATTGACACAAACGGGTCGCATATAATAATGTAATATGAATGTATATAAGCTAATTTACATTCAATCGTTTCTGTTTTTACTGTAATTTCAAATCAGTTAGGTTCGGCGAAATACGCCAGAGAAGTGTCAATCGAATGTCAATCTCTAGCGTCTGGTTATTCCAGACATGACATGTGGAATATGCCTAGCCTCGTTCTTCGAGTCCCTTGTTACTAATGCCGGTAGACGATTAATTCGTGTACCATTGGTAAAATGTTTAATTTGTCTTAAATAGTGGCCTATCTTTTCCCGGTAAGATCACAACATCAATGTAGATTTAAAGGAGCTAAGTCGCTAATATTTGGGACCTAGAAATTGACACAAATGGGTCAAAACGCATACAATAATGTAATATGAATGTATATAAATTGATTTACATTCAATCGTTTCTGTTTTTACTGTAATTTCTAATCAGTTAGGTTCGGCGAAATACGCCAGTATTCTCAATCGAATTTCAATCTCTAGCGTCTGGTTATTCCAGTCTACGCCGATAGTATTTATTGGACATGTTCTCCAGCTAAGGATTTAGCGTCACCGTTTGACATGACTTGTGGAATATGCCATTAGCTTCGTTTTTCGAGTCCCTTATTCCAAATAGCGCTGATACGCATTATGGTACACGATTCGCGTACCAATTGTAAAATGTTTATTTTGTCTTAAATATTGGATATCAGAAGGCCATCTTTCCCCAGTAAGATCACAACATCAATGTTGATTTAAACCGACAAATCGTGTTTTCAATGTCGAAGATTTTGGATGATATTGAGTTAGAGACTTAGCTACTTTAAAGGAGCTAAATCGCTAACATTTGGGACCTAGAAATTTACAAAAGTGGGTGGCAACGCATATATAATACTGTAATATGAATGTATATAAACTGATTTACATTCAATGGTTTCCGTTTTTACTCCAATTTCAAATCAGTTATGTTCGGCGAAATAAGTCAGCAGTCTCAAGCGAGTGCAAATTTCTAGCGTCTGGTTATTCCAGTCTACATACGCCGTTTGATTTGGTACAATGTGTCTAGCCTCATCCCTCGAGTTTCTTGATACAACTGGGGCTGAAGCGCATTATGGTACACGATTCGTGTACCAATGGTAAAATGTTTATTTTGTCTTCAAGGCTCAATACCACTCTTGTTATAACTGAATAATATGTCCCAATCTTTATTCTGGTCAACAAATTGTACTATTTTAGAATATTTCAATTAATTGATGATACAAATTTCATCTTAACACACCTTATTTAAAAATTTTGAAAAATTCAACTGTACATAATGGTTTGAAACGTCTAACGTAAACCTTTTCAAATGAAACTTCGATTTAAAAATATTTTCGAACCCTCTGGACAAGTAAAATAGTATGTAATGGATAATTTACGCAACAGGTAGGACACTTACTGTCTGAGTCTTGGTAAATTTTAAACGGATTTCTTCGATTATGAACAAACTACTTAACTTTGGTTATTATAAACTTACATGTACCTGTGTGTTTGTAATGAACTCCCGTTCGATAAAATCCATTGCACAACTAATTATCACAACGATGAAAACAAGTTCTCTCTTGAAAAATTGAAATATCACAAACTTTTCCCAGAGAAAAATACCAATATGGAAGATGGTTACGTCACTCTGCGGAAGATATCATTTCGTATTACGACAAGAATCCATGACCACTCGGACCAAAGACCACTCGGTTCAAGACCAATCGGACCAACTGATAGACCACTCAGCCCAAACAAATAGACTACTCGGACCATACAAAAAGATTATTCGGACCCAACAGAAAGACGACTCGGACCAATAATAAAGTGTTGTTTTAATAAATTGATAATTGCGTTTGTTTTAATATGATTACTCGAACCAATAATAAAGTGTTATTTTAATAAATTGATAATTGTGTTTATTTTAATATGACTACTCGAACCAATAATAAAGTGTTATTTGAATAAATTGATAATTGTGTGTGTTTTAATATGACTACTCGAACTAATAATAATGTGTTGTTTGAATAAATTGATAATTGTACCCCAAATCGCAAAATATCGAGAACCACACTTGTAGTCACGTTTAAAAAGGGGCATATAAACGTCCGGTCTTATTATGTGCTGTTTATATTAACGCATCAAGGGCGGATAACTTGTAAACGTGTCTCCCCCCCCCCTCCCATATATAGTAACCCAGGGAAAAGTGGGGTAGAACGGAATGAAACCACTGGGGATACCGCGAATGTGGAAAAAGTAAAATTAGGCTATCAGACAAGAACAGTATACCCGTATATGCAGAAATTGTCAAAAGTCTGGACATACCGAGTCTCATTGCAAGAGTAAATAAGAAAAATTAGATTGATATTTTTTTTGGCACCATTATTAATTAATTTTAAAACTAATCGTTGATTTATTTTCCGTACACAAAGTTGAACTAAACAACTCTAAATATAAGAATTCCGTATAAGAATTATTTGCTTCTTTGTATTGTGATTTAATAATAAATAAATAGCATATTGTCTAGCCTTATAATATAATTTAATTGGTCCGACTGGTCTTGTTTTGGTCCCACTGGTCTTAGTCCGAGTAGTCTTTGGTCCAAGTGGTCTGGATACCTACGACAATTGGCATTGAGTTTGAGCATTCGCACACATAACTACCCGATTTTCCTGTATTTAGTTACCGTCTTTTACATTCTAGTAAAATCTATGCAAATTTTATAGCTTTACTTTTTGAAATATTTTGTTCTAATTATTTGATTAGCGACTTGGATGGGATAATTTACTTTTGAACATGCATGCCGCACAAACACAACTATACATTCGTTTTACGGGCTTTATCACACTTCGGTCACACATCACAACATGATATGAATGTTGATTTAACTTGACAAATAAATCGTGTTTTCAATGTTGAAGATTTTGGATGATAATGAGTAAGAGACTTAGCTACTTTAAATTCACAAATACTTCGTGTTTTCAATGTCAAAGACTTTGGATGATAATGAGTTAGAGACTTAGCTACTTTAAGCTATTACTCTGACACAAATTTCGGAAACTTCAGACAGAGAACTAGATCCTACCGTATGGTCAAGTAATTTAAGAGGTTTCTTTTTTTATACTTACCGAATCCACCCTAATACAACTTCCTTTGGTCTCCAGGCTGGACGATATTGTTTGTCATCCTTATGTAAAGGCAGCATTGTTTAACTGTATATAAAGGGTTGTATATTATTACGCCGATCCAGTTAGTTAATAATATAAATAATCACACATGCTTCCATTGACTGTCGTGGCTTAAAACGATAGTGCTGGCGCCAGCAAGACGTTAGCGCATTTTCCAGTCACACTTTACCGAATCGGGTAAAACAAAATTTAGGATTTCCGCAATTTGATTAAAGTACTTTCTATATTTCGTTTCGTTTTTTTTTATACTTTCGGTGGCCTTATCATAATGTAATAGTTGATTGTGTTGTGATTGTATGTGATTTGTCACCTTTTACAATGACAATATTTAAATTTAATGTGATTCGTAAATCCGATTAAAGGAAGATTACTCGACATAGGGCCTATGTGGAGAAAATCTTGTAACTCGTCAAATTTGAGATGTTTTAAAACAGTTATGTGTAGATATTGTAATTCATTAAAAAGCCTCTTTTATCAGTATTTCAGTCCTAATTTTAACTTACAATATTATTTGACCAAATCTTTACACCGGAACATATTTACGATCACCGGAATTCACTTTGAAGATATCAGAATTCGCCCGTAAAATCTTCCTATTTACTTATATTTTCCATTAATATTAATATTGAATTACTTTAAAACACCTAAAATCACCGGAATTCACATTGAAAACATATAAACACCGGAATTCACTTTCAACATATCGGAATTCGCACTGAAGACCTTCGTATTTACATGGACCTTAAAGGTATTATAAGGTCTATGGTATTTACTAATATTTTACATTAATAATAAATTACTTTAAATCACCGGGATTCACTTTGAAAACATATAAACATCGGAATTCACTTTCAACATATCGGAAATCGTACTTAAGACCTTCGTATTTACTAATATTTTACATTAATAATAAATTACTTTTAAACAAAAGTAATTCACCGGAATTCACATTGAAAACATATAAACACCGGAATTCACTTTCAAAATATTGTAATTAAGACCTTACTGTTTACATGGAACTTATGTATTACAGTATAAGGTCCATGGTATTTACTAATATTTTACATTAATACTTTAAACCACCGGAATCCACTTTGAGAAAATCGGACATTGAAAACATATAAACACCGGAATTCACTTTGAAAACATATAAACATCGGAATTCACTTTCAACATATCGGAATTCGCACTTAAGACCTTCGTATTTACTAATATTTTACATTAATAATAAATTACTTTAAAACACCGCAATGATCGGAATTCACATTGAATACATAAACACCGGAAGTTACTTTCAAAATATCGGAATTCGCACTTCAGACCTTCGTACTTACTAATATTTTACACTAAGAATAAGTTAATTTAAAACACCGGAATTCACTTAGAAAATGTCTGAATTTGCACTTAAGACCTTCGCATTTACTAATATTTTACATTAATAATAAATTACTTTAAAACACTTTCACTTTGAGAAAATTGGAATTCGACCCCAAGACAATTGTATTTACTTATATTTTGCATTAATATTAAACTAGAATGTATCTGCTGTAAAACGATATTTCCAGATGGTCAACTCGGGGAAACACAATAATCCATAATATATAAAATGTCAAACCTAACATTTCTTGAATGTGGAGCAAAACTTTCTCAGAGTTGATAAGCTACATTTATTCGTTGTTGTTGTTCTTATAGTATTTAACGTCCGCTTCCACCGAAGGTGACATCGCAGACAAACACCGCAATGATCGGAATTCACATTGAAAACATAAACACCGGAAGTTACTTTCAAAATATCGGAATTCGCACTTCAGACCTTCGTACTTACTAATATTTTACACTAATAATAAGTTAATTTAAAACACCGGAATTCACTTACAAAATATCTGAATTTGCACTTAAGACCTTCGCAAAACTTCTCAGAGTAGATGAGCTAAGTTTATTCGTTGTTGTTCTTCTTTGTTTTTAACGCCCGCTTCCACCGAAGATTACATCGCAGACAAGTCTTATTTTTTTTTATTATCGTAGAGCACGCGCAGGGGTCTTTCCTGTGGGAGGAAACCGGAGTACCCGGAGTAACCCACGAGGTTGGGAAGGCGTCCCTATCTGCAAGCCACATACGCTCACACCAGGGATCGAAACCACAGCCGCAAGCCAGAGGTGACCGGCCAGCTAGAGGTCGAAGCGCTGCACTCAAGACACATTGCCTCGGCCCACAATTCACCGAGACGGGAGGTTAGAGTGGCCCACTCTGATCAATCGGCTTTGGTCGTGTTTAGCTGACGAGTAGGCGCATCTTTGCCATAAATCTGTAATGTATTTATTGCAGTTCTACCTTTGTGTCCTGAGTGCCTACTCTAAAGCTGCGGCTTGGGTCAACTGGATAAAGTAAAAATATTAAATCTTTACTTTGTCTAGGTATATCCCTGTCTGTCCTCTTAGGGCGTATGCGCTGGATATCCGCACAGTAGCCTGCATGGATATTGCAACCCGTTGGTGGTTGGAGAGCAGACAGGGATGAATCCTTAAAATTACACTCATGGCTTCCCAATCGAAGAAGACTCGTTCAATAAAGCGTACGTCGACCGAGGAATTGGAACCAAATAATATACCGAACAAAACTTCCCGAACCTGTCCTAGATTTCTGGCTATACAGAGTACGAATGATATCAACTTATCTAAAACCTCTCCTTTTTTGATTGCTAAAGGTCTTGAGGGTTGGCTAGTGGACTTAAAAGCGTCAAAAAAATGAGAAATGGTACTCTGTTAGAGGAATGTGCTAAAGAATCACATGCCACTTCGTTATTAAAATCAAAAACTTTAGCCAACATTCCGATCAAAGTTACACCGCATAACTCACTTAATTCATCAAGAGGTGTTATACGGTCTCAGGATTTAGAAGGCAGCTGCGAGGAAGAGATGCTTGAGAATCTCGCCTCACAAGGTGTTACATACGTCAAACGTATTTCCATCAGACGTAATGGTAATATTATCCAAACCAACACCTATATCCTGACCTTTGATAAACCAGATCTTCCTAGGATGATCAAAGCTGGTTTTCTTGCCATACAAGTTACCCCTTACATCCCAAATCCATTGCGTTGCTTTCATTGTCAACGCTTTGGACATAGTAAAAACGTGTGTAAGGGGAAAGCGGTTTGTGCTCGATGTGGACAAGATGGTCACGAAAGTACATCTTGTCAACTCGACCACCACTGTATTAACTGCAAAGGGCCACATTTTGCATATTCTAGAGAGTGCCCAATATGGAAGAAAGAAAAACAAGTTCAGCAGGTGAAAACGGAAAAAAAAATACCATACCCTGAAACAGGGAAGTTGGTTGAGGCTGCAACCCCAACATTTGTAATGTCTTTTGCAAATGCAGTCAAGCCGAAGACCGATCCCGTTGCATGTCAAGCACCTGCAGAATTTCCAGCTGCGACAGAAGATTCCTCGTCACAAGCGAAACCACGGATTCCACCTAAACCAGTAAATAAATCTCTCAACACTCAGACTGTTAATAAGTCTGGGGAGTCTGAGATAGAGGAGATTGTGCTCCCTACTCCTCTACCAAATGGTGGAAATCCACCCAAAACCAATAAAATCAAGGAACGTTCTGATAAAGACGTTCCTCGAAAGTTAAATACCTTCGGTAGTAGGAAGGGTGACGAGGATCCTGTCGGAACCTTTAACAGGTTCGGGATACAGGACAATCTTATGGATGTTGTTGTTGAAGTACATGACCCCAAACAACATCATAGAAGTCCTGTTAAACCTCCCTGAAAATGTCAAATTCCATTATACAATGGAATTGTCGTGGTTTTAAACCAAATTTCAATGAAGTTCAAATCTTAATTAAAAAATTTAATCCCTTAGCTATTTGTTTACAAGAAACTTTTTTAATTTGTGTTAATAAATGATGACTCGCCTACTTATCTACATCCTGCCACAGCTTCTTTTTCTTCCCTTGATCTAACCATTTGCTCTCCGGTCCTGTTTCAGGATTTTACATGGAGAGTGAATGAAGATCTGTGTGGAAGTAACCACTTTCCGATGTTGATAGATAATAATGGACCCTCTCCGGTTGAAAGGCCGCAGAGGTGGCAGTTGTATAAGGTTGGTTGGGCTCTTTTTGAATCTTTGTGCCTCTTCTCTTTTGATGCAAAAGAGTTAGAAGATGCAGATGAGCCCATGGCCTTATTCACTTCAGTTCTTCAAGATGCAGCTGAGCAGGTGATTCCAAAGACCACGACTGAGCCCAAACGTTTCAAATAACCATGGTATAATAACGATTGCAAATCCGCTCTTAAAGAGCGTGATCGTATTTTAAGACGCCTTGAGAATCACCCTTTCATGGAGAATATTGCAGCATACCAAATGGTCCGGATACGCCAAGCAAAGAAGTCTCCATGGCAAGGTTATGTCTCAAAGATAAATTCCCGTACCACGTGGGTAAAACGCTGGCTCGCTAGCCTGGAGGTCGGGCGTTCGATCCCTGCATTGGCCGAGAAAGTTCATCCAGATTTTCCGGCGTGGTTTCCCCTTGTCAGTGATGCTGGAAGGAATGCCTGACAAGGACAGCTGTCTAGTCGTTCGGATGGGACGAAAAACCGAGGTCCCGTGTACACATTGGCGTGCACGTAAAAGATCCCTTGGCAGTTGGAATTCGATACAAGAGTAGGCCGTAGCGCCGCTGTCCGGGCAAAATTTCCCTCATAGCAGACTGTATGGGGTATGCCCGTCTTCATTAGCCCAGTTTAGGAACAGAACAGTAGCACGTTAAACCCCATTTCATTTCATTTCCTAATCGGTATGGGATCGGATTCGTAGAATTAAAGATAAAAGTAGTGCATTTTCAGTTAACCATCTAATTGTTGATAATTCCACCCTAACAACATTTCCTGATATCGCTAATTCTCTGGCCAGTACTTTCTCTATCAATTCATCATCAAATTTCTCCTCTGATGCCTTACAGGGCATTAAACATCAGCAAGAGAAAAGGCGACTTAATTTTAAGTCCCATAATGATGAATGTTATAATGAAAAGTTTTTTATTGCTGAACTCCGTGGTTCTCTTAAACGAGCCTGAGATACTGAAACTGGTCCAGATGAAATTCACTACCAGATTTTAAAACATTTGCCTTTTTCTACACTTTTAATATTATT